AAAAAAAGTTGCTTATGGGGGCTGTGTTCGCATGCTTTTCTAAAATAATAAAAAACGAAATTAATTTGTAATCATAAATTAATTTTTAACATTTAAAGCAAGATGACATTGATGATTTTAGTGAAAATCTGAATTTTAGTAAATTTTTTGAAAATTTTAGCCAGTGAAATTCAGTAACATGAATCTATCATTTTAATAATATTACAATAATAATATTGTTTTTTAATTGTAATACTAATATAATAATATTAATTTTAATAATATCATATAATATTATATTTTTTATTTTCTATCTATCGTTCTATAACTTTTATGTAATATTACAGTAATTCTATTTTGATATTTTAATAATAATACAATTATTATGTAAGAATGATTAAATTATAAAAACGAAATGGTGTATATAAAATAAGCGTTGCAATAAAGGTTCTATTAAAGGAAATGCACAAAAAGATGCATTTTTTGTAATAACAATTAAAAAAACAACAATGTGAATGCAAATCAAGCTTGATTTTCTAATAAATATTGTTATTGTTATTGTTATTACAGTACATTTTATTAATGAACCGAGTCAGCTTGGGTGCAGCAGTGAACGCTAGATCCCTTATTACTCTCCATAAACTTACGCCGAAGAAGAAAAGCCTACCGGAAGAGAACCGTAGAAGAAGAAGAAGCAGCAGCAGCGGAAGGCGGTTGTTTTCTTTTAGCTTATTTGCTAATGTAAACCCGATTTTTTTCCCTCTTTGTTTTAACAACTACAGCTCACTTGTGCTCTGGAGATCACAATAAAGTGGTAGGGAGAGGATGTTGGCTACAGGAACGGTGAGATTTTGCAAGGTTTTGGGCGTTTTACGATTGTTTCTGCTGAGGCCTGATCGAGCTAACGGCTAAAACTAATGCAGTCAGTCACTATGGTGATATATTCAAACTTATACGCTGCGTTATATTAGGATACGATTATGTATCTTGCGTAATGTGAGTTTATATGTTTATTAGAGTATCTTATGTCTGAAATAAGAGTCTTAGGAAATTACGAGTCCATTGAGATTTTCACGTGTGCTGTTTGTAAACATGCGCTGCCATTAGTTATTAATGCGCGATTGATACTTTTATTATTAATAATAATATGAATATTAATGAAACTGTTTATGCAGAATATCAGTAGTCTGTCTTTTTTGTTGCTGTTTCTTAAAATATTGCATTGTTATCCAGTAATAATAATTTAATTTGTCAATAATGGTTATTTAGAACATTGTATGTAAGATTATAACAAAGTGCATGAATAGAAAATATGGGACATAAAAAA